CGCGCGTCATCTGAAAAGAGCAGCTCCATCTACCTCACCCAACGGTGGGTACATCTGGGGACTTGCCTCCGATGCAGAGCAGACTCACGCTGCAACTGGTCAGAGAGCAGACAGGCATCCCTACTATCAGGCAGTTTGCAAAGACTCGACACGGGGGCCCAAACGGTCACAGCTTGACAATGCATGCAATCCCTGGGCTCATGGCCGGTGTCTCACCGTCCGTGATACTTACTCGCCTGCCAGAGGTGGCTTTTCCGGCTTGCGTTTAGACCGCCAAGAGGCACCAACGATGTCTAGTGTGACGTCCAACTGGACGGCATGACCTCCGGGATACTTGGTACCCAAAGCATCGCGAGGGAACTCTCGCTGGCGCGGTGACCTTCCTACGTCACCGTGTTCCCGATGCATCCGTGATCAGGAGGGGGGGGGACCTGCCTAGAGAGAGCTAGGTAGGTGGGGGCTGGCCTCCTGACAGAAATCTGCACATCAACCTTCTAGAGCTACGGCAGTAGTACGCTCCTACAGCAGCAAACCCTTACTAGCGAGGTTACAAACATGTGTTTTGAGCGACGACAAACGTTACCACAGTGCTTAACATCCACGGGAGGCACGGAGATCAGACTGGGCGGCTGGACTCCATGGACGCCGACTGTGAAGTGCCCGACAACGAGAAAGGTCCTCGTCATCCTCCGAACCCGCCAACGAGCCATCCGCCCCCGCTGAAGGCGAACGTGAAGCTTAACGTGAATGGGCCAGCCGCCATCGGCATAGCCTCGTGCCCCAAACACTCAAGCACAGGTGGGGCGATGGCGCCCGCCGATATGAGCAGGGCAGCGAAGGGCAGGCCGGGGTCACTAGAAGCGTGGACTCCCATGAAGGTATGCTAAACTTCTTTCTTTTCTTCAAAACGCTTTGTCCTTTCTCTGCTTCAGCTTTTTTTTCTTTTTCGAGTTGGTCTCTGCTCCGCTGAAGAGAAAGCATGACAGTCAGGCGAGGGCGTGCCGCCTCTAGTAGTACCGGCGTGGGCTTGTGCGCTGCACTTCAGGTAGGCCCGCCCCGGAGGCCGCTACGTTTATTAATATTCCAGAGGGACTGCTGCATAGCGATGATTGAGGGTATACCCATAAGATCACGTAGAGCGGTCTGCCCTGTGGCTTTATATAACCTAGGAGTTACAATACGTTACCGACCCGCTTTCCTCTCACTCTGATAAAAAAACATCATCGTTGTGATCCAAAAATCCTGCTCCGCTTGTAGTGGCACTCCATAGCACTCGACCAAAAATATAAGGAAGCAACAGCTTTTGATTTTTTTTGCTCCCATTTTTCATTCGGAGAGACTCAAAGGATCTAAAACATTATCTATATATCACAAAATAACCATTTCCTCAAATATGTTCAACGAAAACAATCTTGATAGTGAGCACTTTCCTTGCCGAGATAATCCCCCACCCCAAGTGTGCATATCGAGGATCCGATAGACAGCATGAATTATTGCACAGGCTGCCTTAAGGCTGGCCACAATAAAAGGCCACTCTGAAACGTGCAGTTTTGCTTTATTGGGGGGGTCTGGGGGGGTCCGAAAACCCTAGGGTTACCTAACCCTAACCCTAACATGTCACCCATTGAGCATGTTTGGGATGCTCTGGATCGGCGTATACGACAGCAGTTCCAGTTCCTGCCAATATCCAGCAACTTCGCACAGCCATTGAAGAGGAGTGGACCAACATTCCACAGGCCACAATCAACAACCTGATCAACTCTATGCGAAGGAGATATGTTGCACTGCGTGAGGCAAATGGTGGTCACACCAGATACTGACTGGTTTTCGGATTGATAAAATTGATGAATTGATAATACGATAATAATCGTCTCAATGTAAGTACAGTAATCAACTGGGTTGGTTTCATGGTGATATCTATCTGTATCTTTATCCTATTCACCTGTAGTGTCTCTCCTTAAAGAGCCTGTGACACGAACCCAACAACTGTTGTGCAATGAAATAGTGGGCTACTAGTAATCTCGAACCGTCAGTTTAAAAAAGAAAAAGCGATACCGTTCCGATAAATATCAATAATTTCGAACATCGCGGGAAAATTCCTTCGACTCATTTTGAGGTTTTGGGGGAAAGCCGTAAGTGACGTCAATGCGGGAACGCTTCACTGTGCGGGCGAGAGAGCCAACACACGACAAATGTGTTGTCATGCCGAGAAATGGTGGAATTACTGAGTATTAGGCACGTTGAATCAACGCTTTAATGAAGTGACTACAGCTATCCTTCATCTATGTGTCCAGGCCTGCTCTTTCATGCTCCAATGCAGGGCGAACATAAAACATGAAATGCATCGTAGTGAAGGATGATGACTAGGCTTAAAAATCGGACGCCTACTGAGAGCCTGCTGAATCTCTCCCTCCCCGCTCGCGATCGTGTATATAACCCACAAACGTTAACTTTTGTAAGTTGTGAACCAGTGGATGAAACTACATTTATGTATGTGCTTTCATGTCCAATCTCGGGCGTACATATCGAGTTGTGAGCCGATCTGCATTTCCTGATGAGAAAACAAACCCTTACTTTTTGTAGTGCAGTCAGTGTGTAGTGGGGCGTTGGACGGGGGTACGCGCCGTACCCCACTTTACTTTGGAAGCAATGAATTGTTTTCTTTTTTTTAAAGTCAATACAGGCATTCCTCAAAGCCGGACCCCGGGTCCGGATCCGGACGAAACCAACACTGCCTACCCTGAGCACAATATACTTTTCATTATGTGGACGCGAGACATTCGCCACAACCAACGAAGTCTAAATGTTCCCTGCATGGTNGGTGGGATGGATTATCTCGGCAAAGGAGAAGTGCTCACTATCACAGATTTTTTCAGATTTGTGAACAATATTTGAGAGAAATGGTTATTTTGTGTATGTAGAAAATGTTTTAGATCTTTGAGTTCATCTCATGAGAAATGGGAACAAAAACAAAAGTGTTGCATTTATATTTTTGTTCAGTGTATGATAATATTTTTTCCCTGCAGGTCATGCAGATCGACTATAACAACCTGACAAAGTTTTACGGCACGGTGAAGTTTGATGAGGGTGTGTTCGGAGTGTTTGAGTACGGAGAGAGGGGGTCGCTCAGGGTACGTTTGATACGCTCACCTGCAGACCACTCAGGTGTTATATTAATGGTAGTGCAGTTTGAACATAAACCAATACTACCTAATAGTGTCAGTAGTATGTTAAAGAACGAGCAAGTCAAATGGAAGCCCTTAAACAACAATCTGTCGAAAAAAAGTATGAACATTTGATCTCTAATGACAGATTTTATCAAAAATATTGAGTAAATATCTAAAAGATAATGACTTGTTCTCTCAAAGATCAAAGTAATAATGACTCTGTACCTCAATCTAATGACTTTCTCGAAATTATGCTTCAATCTTAAAATAATTATGTGTCTCAAAGTAATGAGAATACAATCATTTTTACCACATTTAATGTCCCTTTCTTCCTCCAGTATGTGCTGAACGATAAGGTTTCGTACCCGGAGAACACCTTCATGGACTGGGAGTTCAAGATCTCCGTCATGTACGACATCGCTAAGGTGACATATTATTATATAAGACAGTTTATAAGGTTCAAGCCAAGCTCAAAATTGACTTCCTAAACTGTGGATATGGACTATACGCGAGCTATTTAACCTGGGCCATTATTCCACTTAGCAGTATTCTGCACTAACTGTTCAACTTTTTCTATACTTATATCATTTTGAGCAATAATCTGGTTTTCAGCACTTAAATAATCATTATTATATCCAATGTCCCCCCAGAATAAAGTATAATTGATAACATTTTGATAATGCACTGTTAGTACTTGTTGTTGCAGTTCCCTCTTTTGGCCACTAGAGGTCAGTAGAGACTCTTTAATCTCCTCTCTCTGCAGGGCATGTCCTACCTTCACTCGAGTCACATCCAGGTTCACGGTCGCCTCAAATCCACAAACTGTGTGGTGGATAACCGCATGGTGGTGAAGGTCACTGACTTTGGCTGCAACAGCTTCCTCAGCCCCGGGAAAGGTAAACAACAACAACAACACAACAGCTGCAATGCTCGAAACTCACTTCTCAAGTACTGCACTGAAGTATGATTTGAGATACTCTCCTCCTCTCCTCTCCTCCTCTCCTCCTCTCCTCCTCTCCTCTCCTCCTCCTCTTCCTCTCAGACCTGTGGACAGCTCCAGAACACCTCAGACGTCAGGGCACGTCTCAGAAAGGAGACGTTTACAGTTTCTCTATCATCGCTCAGGAGATCGTTCTGAGGAAGAGCACTTTCTACACCGAGCTCTGCGCCGACAGAGCGGGTGAGACAAAGACACGCCGTCCAGAATGAAGCTATAGAAAATCAGAATCAGCTATTTTTCTTTAATATCCTTTTTGAATAAAAACATTTTTGACATGATTAGCCTTTAAAGGTCACCTATCATGCTATTTTTAGGCAATAGCATAGGTCTCAGATATATAAAGATATATAAAAAACATGTCTATGAAGTGTTTTGCTCAAAATACCAAACAGATCACCCATTCTAGCCATGCCTCATATCCCTCTATTTCACTTCCTGTTTCAAAAGTGCTGATTTGGGTATAAAGCTTTCAAAAAATAAAAAAGAGGGAGGGGGTTGAGCTCATGCGGGACCCGGCAGCTACTGTCTAAACTAAATACTGCCGTGATGAAACGCCATATCATGGATTATCAAGGATTATTTCTGAAACAGTATGGAGCTCAAAGGCTTTCTCTCTTGCCGGTTATACCACAAGGTGAGTTCCTTTTTACTTCCTGCTTCTTCACACACATGCTCTCCAGTACAGGTTAGCTCTGAGTGTTAGCGATGCTAATGTAAACACCGACCATATTACGTCCAAAACAGTCGGGCATTGTTTCTGATAGCAACGTTTCTGATTGGGCCGTGGGTCCACATTTCAGATATTACGTCATATCGGACGCAAATCTGGATCAGCTCCGTTGTTCCCCCGTTTTTAGAGATTTGGGTACGGAGGAAAAGAGAGAGGGTTTTATTTTCTGACGCTGCGTGAGTTCCCTGACACACCGGGGACACATCTTTATGTTTAAAAGACATCAAGAAGTGCATTTTGCATGATAGGTCCCCTTTAAATGCCACATCATTATGTATGTATACCGGAAAAAAAAAAAGATTATAAAATAT